GGCTGCCAGGGCAACTGGGCTGGCACAGCCCCTGTGGGCATCCTGAGCAGCCCTGCCCATCCCGCACCCTCACCGTAGCAGGCTGACTTGCTGTTCTCAGAGGCGAAGTAGATGCCCTTGCCCACGCGCCCACCTGAGTGGGGCATGATGCGCAGCCCACTCTTCAGGATGGGCTGTTGGTGCCGTGCCAAAGCAGGCGCCGGTGCTCCAGGTGGTCGTGGGCTTTGAAGCGCTCATCCTGGAGAGATGCAGAGTGAAGGGCTGTCCATGGAGGGAGATGTGGGTTCCTGGGGGTGGGGGACTGCCACCCAACCGCCCCAGCCCAACCCCAGTGCCAGGCTGGAGGGGCAGGGGAGCAGGTGCCTGTTTGCCCCTGGCCAGCTGGGCTGAAGCCCCCCTGGCTGGAGAAGCCCGGAGCCCTAATGCAGCCCTGGGTGCAATTGGGGCTTCCCCATTGCAGGATGGGTATAATCGTCTCCATCTTCTCACCTCGCCATCACGGGCCACCTGCCAGATGTTGAGGATGCGGAGTTGGTCCCCCGTCTGTGTTACGTAGTTTTGGATCAGCTGCCAGGGAGGGAGGCAGGAAAGCGGTGTCACCATCCTAGCAATGCCCATGATCCCCCTGGAACAGTGGGGACATTTGGGGTGCCCGCAGGCCTGGCATGGTTACACCCTGTCATGGGGCACCATGTCACAAGTACCACCTGATATTCCCGGGAAGCCGGGTCCAGGAGGGAGAGCTGGCAGCAGAGCAGGGCGTAATCCTGATCCAGCGGATGGAGGACTTCCTCCTCCTCCTTTGCCTCCTTCACCTTCTGCGCCTGCAGGCTCTGTGCCACCTCGATATCAGCCAGCACCTGGCAGGCACAGACCAGGGACATCATCACCACCAGTGCTGGGCACCGTGCCGGGGGAACGAGGGCAAACCCAGCTGCCTGCCAGCACCTCCCTGCCCCACAAGCCAGAGCCCTCCTTGTGGACGGATGCCACCTGCCGGGTGCCCTGGCATCTCACCAACAGCATGTCCTTCTTGGCACGTAGCAGGTGAGGGGTGTTGATGAGATGTGGCTGTGCCCGTCGAAAGTTATGGGGGACGATGGTGTAGAAGCGAGAGCAGAGGTCCTCCAGGCGGGCAGCTGAGAGGGGCTGCTCCTGCAGTGCTGCCTCCAGCTCCTCCAGTGCCTCGAAGCCCCTCACGATCTGCTGCTTGCTCAGCTTCCCCAGCGGCATCTTCTTCACATCTGGCCAGGGGGAGAGGGGAGGGCAACCAGTGAACCCACCTGCCCCACTTGCTCCACAGCTACTTCCCAGAACTTCCAGCATCAACACAGGCACACATGGGCACCTGGCATGGGGGTCCACAGTCCCACCAGGTGCCGAGCTATCAGTAGGGATGCTCTAAAATCCACTGGCACCTCTGCCCCATTCACCTCCCCATCTGCACTCCCCAGCTGCAGCCCCGAGACCCACCCCATGCCACCCATCACCTCTTACCAATATTCATGGTCTGCATGGCATCCCGGAACATGTCGTTGCTGAAGATGAAGGACACCAGGTCCTGCGTGGCTTTATCCAAGGTGCAGGGCAGCACCCGCTGCCTGTAGACTTTGTCCCCATCCACCTGCAGACCCTCAACATCACTATGCCGCCTGCAAGCCCATGGGAAGCCGGGGATGCCCGTTGCAGTAGGGAGAGCCTGGCCCCCAGGCAGCAGAGCAACAGGCAGGTTTTCCATGACCAATGCCACCCAGATGGCCATGGTTCTCACTTGAGATGCCCTCCCACTTCATCTCAAACCATTAGCCCCAAATCTCTGCACATGGGTTGTTTCAGCTTCCGAAACCCACCCCATCCTGCTCACTGCTTGGATGTCCTGGTGCCCAGTAGGCCAGGGGTGGGATGTGAGGACCACTCCACCACCATGACACCCCGGCTGCCTGGCACACTCACCCTGAGGGCAACCTCCCTCTCCTGCCCGGCCCCTGGCTCCACCTCGATGAGTGTATACTTCCCCGGTTGGGCAACAAAGTTCTCCCTCGTCGCCCAGCTGTTCTTTGTCTTCTCTCGAAACTTCTTCTCAAACTCCTTCTTGGCAGCTTCCAGGGAGGCAGAGGGCATGAGCTTGGACTGGCCCACCTCCCCCTGGCAGAGGACAGCAGTGGTCAGGACTCCCCTTGTCCCTGCTCCACCAGCCCCATGCTGAGG